GCTTTCGATAAATCCGTGTAAATAACATCGAATTGCTTTCCAGCATCAACAGCTTGTACTAGAGACTCAGTGAAAATCGCCAAGTTCATACTAGTTGATCTAGCGCTCGTAAAGCCATGCTGATGAACACTGAGATATTGTTTAAGGTGAACTCGTAGTGGCTCTGATATTAAAGTTTCAAGGATTTTAGCAAAAATCGATAATATTGAAATAGGCCTATAGTTCGAAACGGAAGACTTATTTTCCGATTTAAAAATTGGAATAACTTTAGCCACTTTCCACAAGGATGGAAATATGCCAGATGATAGGGATGTGTTATATATAAGAGTCAGTGGTAGTACCAAGGCTGAGGCACATGAAGTAATAAATAAAGGCGGTATCCCGTCTGGGCCGGCCCCTTTTTTACAATTTAATGATTTAAGTTTTTTCAATATTGTCTCTTGACTAACTGATGGTACCGTGAAACACTGGCTGTTTGCCCAAAGAAAATTACTGTCATTAATTTGGTTACCAAAATTAGACGATTCAGGTGTATAAACGGAGGAAAAATATGTAGCAAAAAGCTCACATATTTCAGTACCTTTTGATGTAGAAGTTCTGCCATCTGTCATGGGAACCGGATATGAACTCTTTCCACCACGTTTATCTTTGATAAAGGACCAAAAACACTTAGGGTCATTACGCAGCTGCTCATCAATTTCAACAATATATTTTTTGTAACATTCAGACGCTAGTTTCTCGCATCTTTTACTTATTAGTTTCAGTTCTATATGATCCATGGGATGGGATTTATAACGTAATCTAAGTTTATATTTTTCATTTAATAACCTTTTAAGACTTCTATTAAACCACACTGGAAAACGATAACTTTTAGGCTTGCAAAGAGGCACATGTTCATGAATTAATTTCTGTAACACGTTATAGAATTCTTGTACCATTTCATTGACGTTGTTGAGATGACAAAATTTCAGACGCCAGTCTATTTTATTTAATTGTTCCTTTATAGTAACGAAATTTGCTTGATAGTAGTTGTGTCTCAAACAAGATAAATTATATGGAAGACTAATTTTTTTAGTTGAAGAAATAGATATATCCAACGGTGGATGCACAAGTTCGATTTTACTAAGAGACTGTGGCTTGTGTCACTGTACATGTGGGTAGTGTACTAAGAACAAGATCAAGAATTCTACCTGTATTAGATATACTATTACACTGATAAAGCTTATTAATGTTTAAAAAATCTATAAGAGCTTGAGAGTTATATGGTAAGGTATTCGTGGTATTGTAATCCTCAAGTGATTTCCAATTAATATTACCTAAATTAAAGTCACCAACTATGCACACATTATAATTTACATTATCAAAAACAGAATTGCAGCTAGACAAAAAAAGATCTAGTAACGTGCGACTTACAGGTGGTGGCAGATAAGCTGCACAGAAATCTAGTTGCAGTGAATCAATAGTAATCCATAAGTCTTCACATTTACTCTCCCAAGACATCATGCGACTGGATCTAAACTGTTTCGACACTGCAACCAAAACTCCCCCTCCCTCTTTGCCACAATTAAAACCAGATGAATATCTGTCCCTGCGATGTACATCGTATCTATCATCAAACAATTCTCCATTACATACTGAGTTATTTAACCAAGTTTCTACAAGAATTATTATGTCATAGTTGTTAATACAAACATTTTTATAAAACACATGTGTTTTAGTTCTCAGTCCTCTGCAATTTTGAAAATACACTGAGAGAGTGAATTTTTTAAGAATATATATGATGATGATGATGAAGGATAAAGTTTGAGAAGTTTAATAACTACATCTCATTAGATCCACCATGGGTCTGGCCAAGGGATCAACTCATAGAAAAAAATATATGGATATAGGCGAATGGTGTTAGTGTAAGACATATTTATTTATATACTAGCTGTCTCAGCGAACTTCGCACCGCCATAAAAAAAGGGATTGGTGGTAGAAGGGTGGGTATGTATTTTTGTATGATGTATCATAAAAAACAAAAATAAAAATAATGTCCAAAAACAAAATTCAGTGTTAAGTAATTACCCTTAACATTTAGGAGGATGAAAAATTGATGATGTCCGATTGTCAGACCTACTGAATATGCATATAAAATTTCACGAAAATCGGTCGAGCCGTTTCGAAGTAGTTCAATTACGCACACCGTGACACGAGAATTTTATATGTTATTATTATTATCTTTATACTTTATACTTAATTTGGTCAAGGGTACATAATATACATTAGCAATAACATTAGCGTGGTACTACTGCGGTGAAAAATCTTCCATCGTACCTACCTTCAAGGGAACAGCCCAACGGTATACAGGAAAATCCTTTATTCCCAGTAAAAAAACTGTGTTAATAGCGTTTCGTATAATTAATATATCTAAACTGTCTACTCGATAATTGGTATCTCATATAAGACTCCACTCTTTTCACCCCCTTAAAAGATGATTTCTGGGATAAAAATAATCTTTATACTAAATTTCTTATAAAGCGGTTCAGTGGTTTAAACTTGAAGATGTAACAAGAGAATATTAATAGGTATGAATATTTGGAGTGCGTAACTTTATAGACACGTCTTTATAATAAAATCTTGTTTTTTTTTGGGTAGGCCAAGGGTAGGCATTATAGAAAGTGGCCTCTGTAATAAATAAATATTTAACAAAGATTCAAAGACTAACATTCAAGATATTGGGCCGCCCATATTATCGGTCGATAATACTTTCGTAGCACTGACTGACTCTTCCGAGCATCCAATAATATTTGACCAGGTCATCCTCTGGGAAGACCGGGTCAAGTACTTGTTAGTCACGTTATATAACCGATTAACGTTTGCACCTCATCTCAAGATTCGTGATCGCTTAGCATTCATTCGCGATAGGCTATTCCGCCTCATAGGGAAGCGTAGTAAAATGTCATTTAGGCATAAATTGTCAATTTACAAAACTTGCATTCATCCATATACAAAAATTTCCCTATCATAACCTACGCGAGTGTTTGCTTAGCCCAGGTACCTCCGTCGCGTATTACAAACGTTGCAAAATCGTGTGTTGCCCGGTGCCACGGGCTGCGTGGTACGTGCGCAACATCGATTTGCATCGCGATCTCAAGTTAATCGCGAAGTAAGAAGGACGCCTCGAGACGTTACTTCGATAAAGCCGCGCATCATCCGAACCCCTTGGTAGTTAAAGCCTCAATTTATTACACATCCGCCCTCTCTTCCTCCAATCGTAGGTCCCTCCGATTCCGACGGCCTAGGCACGTCTTGAGTACCCCGACGACGAAATCACCCGTGCCGACGCGCCTCCGACTCCTCTTCACACAGGCCACAAACATCAACACTACACAGCTAGCATACTTGCACACTAGGCAGACACCGCAATCGTAGGATAAGAGTGCGAAGACCTTCGGTCACTCGGTTTACACGCGACACGCTATAGGTTGCCAGGTACAGGTTCGTACCTGGGCGTTTTTCCCCGCCCCCTACGACAACGGCTAACTAGAGCCGAGGTCCGAGTCTCAGAGACGCCATCTAGTCGAGCCGACCCCCACAGGTAGGAGTGATCTAGAGCCTCTTCTCCACTGGAGCCTCTCCACACGGAGAGGAGACTCCAAAAAAAACCATCGTAGCATGGGAATGGCTACGAAGCTGCACACTGCTGCTTTCAAGCAAGGGCGTCTTTACCTTAGGCAGTGTTTCCTAACCTTTCCAATACTGCTACCCCTGTAACCTATTAGGAAAACAGATTTTACCCCGACTTTAAAATGTTATCATCAGTCCAAGAAATTCCAATTTGGCCGCTATCTTCTTCTCTACTAATGTCATCATCAGGAGAAAACCTCACCCCGCTTCCCACACTTAGCACCCCACGGGCTCACTAGGTTCTTTGTTACCCCCGAAGTATGGCTGATTTATCCCCCGAGGGGTAATTACCCCCAGGTTCGGAACCCAGGCCCTAGAAGTATGACGAAGTATCGCATCCGATATTATCGAACAATAAGAACGCGCCTTGTTGACGTTTATTTGATTAACAGATAAAACAGGATTCGGACTTCGAATCTGCGCTTCCCACTGATCCTGTCTGATATTTGGACTGAGTAGAATTTTTATACCTAGTAAAATGTCTTTAGATTGATGAATCTACCAGTTAACTGCTCATAATAGGAACATACCTAGTCATTTTTCATTTATGTTGGTTTACTCCTGTCTTTTAAGAGCTACTGCACATTGAGCCACTTGTGGCCGCCATTAAGCCACTAGCGGCTTCGATTGGTGGCTGTGTGTGCCGCTAGTGGCTGACATGAGCCGCTACTTAGTGGACGCGTTTAGTGACTGCGACTACTGGCTTAGTTTGCTTAGCCAGTGGCTTTGTAGCGGCCACTTAGATACTAGCGGCTTCGATTGGTGGCTGCGTCTAGTGGATTGACTGAGACACTAGTGATCGCGTTTAGTGGCCGCGACTAGCGGTGGCTCAATCTGTGGTTGCTCTTTGTAGTTATTGATAAGGCAACGAATTAGAATAAATTTAATTTGTATTTGCATGGCTTATGTTTCTGCAAATGTAAATCAAAATTTAGGTACTTCGTAACGTAATGCCTCAATTGCACTTGGTATTCGGACACCCAAGGCAATATTTACACCGGAATACGGGTTGCAAGACGGTGTTGGGTAATCAAAACAAAATCTACCCGAATCGATTCCGTTCATTTACGCTTGGTCGTTAGCCCGAATACGAGTGCCAATGGAATTAGGGTAAACGACTTAGTGTAATTGAACGGAGTCAAGTACGCCTGTATTCGGGTAAATTTCCTTTTCTTTACCGGAAACCGTCTTTCAGCCCGTATTCCAGTGTAAATATTGCTTCGGGTACTCGAATTCGAGTACTGACTTTTGTGTAGCCGAACACAGGCTAACGACCAAATATAATTGCGGCATTAGTTGTTTACCCGAATTCCATTGGCACTCGTATTCCGGCTAAGTGTAATCGCGCCATTACAGCTTCGAGCTTTAGCACGTAGTAATTATTAAGTAAGCTGTGCTTTAGCTTAGGTTATCTCTTTTGTTGAAGTGCCTATAATAATATTGGGTAGCCGGAACGACAGAGATGGAGTGTGTAGTAATAAAAATGATTTTTTATAAATATAATTACATTAAAGATAGGTAGGTATAACATCTGAAGCAGTAGATAATATTTAATAAAAATTAAACAGAGTCTTGTTTCCGTCTATAAAACTTCGTAAATGATAAACAAAGAATTCCCAAGGCAGCGCTCCCTCCGCAGGCGTATGTCAAAACTCCTCTATAGTATTGAGGACAATCTTCTGCATCATCACATTTGCTGTGGACAAATACAAAAATTATATGGATGTCTACTTTACAAACATTAAACTTGCATAAAACTCTTAACCAGTAGGATTGTCGTAGCGTAGTAATATGTCAATTAGGCACGTTTTGTCAATGTGTTCAACTACATACATGTACCTACACCATGATTTTGCGAATTTGATAAAATTCTAAACGTCTCACTACGCGCTAAACTAACTTGAATTGAAAACACAGTATTTTGAACGTAACCGCTATTAATTTAAATTCAGGATTCATTTATTCAGTTTAGGCTTTTACAGGCACATCTGAAAGTCGAAAGCTACGCCTTCGGTTCGCAGATCTACGGCGCAAGACCTTGTAATGAGAATAACCGACAAGAAACTTTCAAGGGCTGCTTTTTCCCCCTGTATTATTTCATACAGTGTCATCAAATTGAAAGCTGACATCAAACTTTTATAAGTTTGATGTCAGCTTTCAATTTGATGACTATGTTTATACATGTATTGAGGTCAACTTCCATCACATAATGTAAAAAAGGTAACAGTAGATATAGTTACAAAAGCCCATAAATATCCAGTAAACAATTTTCAAAATACATGAGCAAGTTTAAAAAAGACACTAAGTGCAGGTTCTGTTTCAATACTCCTCTTGAGGAGACGAAGTTTAATATAACTTTGAAAATTTTCTGAAGGTACAATTACAACATGGCGGTTTTAGCACTCAAATATTGTTTAACAGTATAATATCCTTTCTTATGCAAGCAATTATTGATGTATGTTTTAAATTCATTTAGAGGCAAATCAAAAATATCACTGGGAATCTTATTATAGAAATGCATACCTTGACCCATAAATTATCTATGAAATCTATACAATGGTAACTTAAGTTTGTTTTTATTCCTAGTATTAAAAGTATGGACACCACTGTGTTTGAGATAAAAGTTAATATTGTTTCGAACAAAAAAAAAAGAATACAATTGTAGATAAATTGCGAAACAACAAAATCCCGATTACTTGATTTTTTTCTTTCAGAGGATGTCTTGAGCTTAGTTGATAAATAGCTCTTACAGCACGTTTTTGCAAAATAAATATCGTTTCGATATCTGATGCTGTTCCCTAGAGAATCATGCCATAGGGTACAATACTGTGAAAGTAACTAAAGTATACATTCCTAGCAGTATCTACATCAGAAATCTTTCGTAAGGTATAAGCCGAACTAAGTTTACCTAAGAATAACGTGGATTGAACCAAATTTAACTTTTCATTGTTTAGTTTAATTTCAACTGGTTCGTTTCTAACATTTGGTAAAACAAATTTTATGCATTTAGTTTTATTAGCATTAACTTTTAATTTATTTACATTAAACGAGTACAATACTTATGAGAGAGCATCATTTACATCATCATAGTTATTCTTAGATCTGTCAACCTTAAATAATGAAGATTTGTTATCAGCAAACATACTCACAGAATTTCTCCACACAAAATGGCAAATCGTTTATATACAGTAAAAATAGGAACATACCCCAAATAGAACCCTGGGGAACGCCTATTAACACATGAGATCCAGATGACCTAACGCCATTGGTACGACAATAGCAATTTTTGACTGCGCCATAGTGACTCAACTTCATCATCAGCGTCTGATGCTGAACGCAATCAAAAGCCTTGGACAAGTCCCAGAATACTCCAAGAACGTTCTGCGACTCCTCCCAAGCTTCCAATATTAGCCTAATAAGTGCAATACCCGCATCAGTCGTAGATCTACCTCTAGTAAAAACAAATTGCTTACTATGTAACAGGTTATTCAAATTGAAATGTGATATTAATTGATTTAAAATTATTTTTTCGAAAATTTTACTCAATACCGCCAATACTGATATAGGTATGTAATTACCGGAGACTATTCCAGATTTCTAAAAAGGTATAACTTTACTATATTTCATGAGCTCTGGAAATACTCCCCGATCAACACAATTATTAAATATGACTGTTATTATACCATTAACATTTTTTATAGATATTCCGCATAAATCACACGTATATTTATTTTTAAGTGATTTAAAACTTTTGATAACGTAAACGGGGTTACATACTTTATTAAGTAAATTAAATAATAAATTCAGACATAGACAATAAAACTTTAAAAATCGAACGATGAAATAACCGAACGCTCAATAAAAGTCTTTCACGGGTAGCTCGACAAATTAAATAAAAGTTTGATTCTGACGACGTAGCCTGTAAAGGCTGCGAAACGTCAATAAATAAATAAAGTTTCGGGCATTAACCCGTAAAAACTAGTTTTATTTGATTTATAAAATTCCAAGTAGTTTTGATTTTATTATTAGAAGTCATTATTTTATTTACTATATAATTTGATTTAGCTGTAGCACAAGCCTTTTTAAACGTTTTTGCATATGTTTAACGTAATCAACAAATCTTGAGTATTATTGTATTTCTTTATGTGGTACAATTCATAAAGCTTGTTTCTAAATTTTTGAATACCAGTCGTAGCCCAGTCACATAATTCCAACTTCTGAGAAAATTTGGTAGTTTTAAGTGAGAGTGCCTTAGCGAATTCATTCTTGTTTAAATGGAAAACATCGCAATAATGAATATCGTGATCGTCATGTGTCTGTCGTGGCCATATCGTAGATTTGCTCATTTCATGAAATGCTCGAGTATTTCATGAAATGGTCGCATTTCATGAAATGTCTCACTATCTATTGGCCACATCATGATGTGGTTTGGGCAGATCAATGATGAGAAATCGTTTCACGATATGGTCAACTAAACGCGCAGCTTCTTCATGAAATGGCCAAAATTATTTGATCATATCGTAAAGTTGTTAAATTAGTTACCGGTAGAGGCGCTGCAAGCGCTTTGTTTATATTTGTAAATGGCGGCCGCTGCCGACAATGTTGTTTCTCGCAGTGATAAAGTGCATAATTTAGATTAGATTAGAGAAGAAAGTGATAACAAAAGGGTTTAGACGAAAAGGTTCTCGAGTACTAATCAAGTTAAGCAAAAACTGAGTAAAATGTAAAAAAACCGTGGGTTGGATCGCATTACACAGGTTAGTACTTGACTCTTAAATTACATCATTATTCACTTATTTTATTAAAATACTTTATGCCAGTTAACGTATTATGTTTCTATTAAATTAATATTATTCTTCGTTTGTGAATTATGACATAATAAAGGTAATGTTTTTTCGCTTTTAGGTTATGAAACAAATTAAGGAGAGTAGGGTGACTACGCAAAAGAAATCCATGGACTATTACTGGCTGCCAAAATATGACATTTTGGAAACTGCGGATGAAGTAAAAAGTGCGGATGAGAATCAAGCCTACTATTGCAATATGTACCAAAGTACCTTTTTATTTCCAAATATTTGTTAGTTTTCTAAATGTAAATGACGTTTACATTTGTGTAACTACATGACACGTTGATGTTTAATTTAGAAAAAAATCTTTGATTTGTGTATTTTCTTAAAAAATATGATTCAATTTTTTTGTGTCATTCGGACTCAAATGACAATAAACAAGTTCTTAACATATTATATATATTATTCTGGATTTTTATTAAATATTTTATGGACACCCTAATTATACCATCCGGCCAAATGTGGATGACAAAATCGTTAAACATTGACGATTTAATGATCTGCTCAAATTAAGTTGGCCACATCATGAAATGCGACCATTTCATGAAATACTCGAGCATTTCATGAAATGAGCAAATCTACGATATGGCCACGACATGTCCATGGCATTGGAAAAATCTTATCATTAATATTTAATTTTAAAAATTCTACACGCTTTATGGTTACCTACTGGCCTTAACTCAGTGCAGTGGTAGTAGTGATAAGAGGTTAATATTATTAATTAACATTATGAGAAATAACCTATGTATTATTCGCTAGTAATATTTTATAATTTTGCATGATTTTAATTAATTTGTATTTTAATCAATTTAATTATTTTAACAACCAATTAATAATTATCTCAAATTTATTTTTATATCAAGTGTAACTTACCACATCATGCATGTAAATTCTATTTAATTATAACAAGCACCTACATCATCACATTACATTATAAATAGCACAAGTCAATGATATTCAAACAATTATTGTATTTTTCTTTACCTTCTATGCAAGAAATAAAAGGCTTTTTATTTTATTTTTTATTTTATTATTTATTATTCGCTAGTAGGAACATACCTAATAGACTCCCTATCTTTAATAATCAGCTCGCGATAATGTTGGTTTTGTAATTATAAACGATAATTCTGCAAAAATCGAAGCAAATAATATAAAGTTTTATAGGTAAACCCACCCGCGTGGTGTGTCATGGCCCAATCTCCCTATTCTATCCATAGGGAAGGTCTATGCCCCAGCAGTGGGGACATTAAAAGACTGATGATGATAGGTAAATCACACCTTCCATCATCCTACCCCTATAAATGTTTCGATCAAGTAGCATTGAACCAAGGCCCCATCTATTTAAAAAAAAAAACATCAGAATCGATTTAGCTATTAGGGCGCGGAAGCGTAACAAACAAACTCCTATCGCGTCTATAATATTATATTATACTAGTGATCCGCTCCGATATTGCATGGACGAAATTTATTTTAACGGGATAGAATATAGCCTATGTCAGTCGGATATAAAGAAAAAAATTATAAATAATCCTCTCGGAGAAGTTGTTAGAATGGAATTTTATCAAGTAAAAGTTTTCTTTTGATTTAAGTAAAACACCCAATCAACACAAGGCACCATTGTCAAATATTAAAAAACAAAACAAAGAAAAATAAGAATATATTCTGACTTCTGAACACATTTGAAGCGTAAACTATAGACGAGGATTATCTAGCTGTCATTTCTGATGACGTTTCATATTTTCGGCAATTTTGTACAAAATGGCGTAATGATATGTTTCGACCGTGGTAGATCTCCAACCAAATCCAGTTTTATTAGTGAAATTGCTAAGGAGATGAGTAAGATTTATTGTTCATAACTTTTAATGGTTTTGCTTTATCTAAAACGTTAGTTATTTATTATATGAGGATAGAAATTCACAACTGCTTAATAATTTCATTAGAAGGGTAAGGTTACATTAAAATGCTAAAACACGCCTGTCGGTAATTGGGGATTTTATTTTGCTTTTTCCAATCTTCGACAAATGTCGAAATTTTTTTTAATTTTATTTTGTGCACTTTATTATATTATTTAACTAAGCTTGTTCAGCACTCTAAATATATAGGTCTTTCATTTAAATATTCAACCTGCTTCTAATGATCGACAGCCGTGTCGATGATTGGGTATCCCATACGTTCCAATGACCGACAGACGATATGTCGATGATTGGATATTCTATATGTTAGTCTACATGTTCCAGTAACCGACATTTTTTGCAGGCATGGCCCCCTTAAAAAAAATTACATGCCTTTTCAAATGGCCCAGGCCGTAGAAGCAGTCAGAAAAGGTGAGAAAACTGCAACTGCTGCAAAAAAGTATGGTGTACCCAAAATTACATTACACGATAAGATTTCCGGTAAGACTCCAGTTGAATGTTCCATGGGCCCTAAAACATATTTGTCAACGGTAGAGGAGGCTATTTTAGAAAAATGGATACTTGCAATGGCTGAAAAACACATTCCCGTTACTAGAGATGAGTTACTCGATAGCGTACAACGTATCATAATTGACCAGAATAAAACAACCCCATTTACTGACAATACACCGTGCAAGAAATGGTACAACCTTTTTCTAAATCGACATCCTATATTATCTGAGAGAACGGCACAAAATTTAACGACAGCTCGAGATGCTGTTACAGAAGAGCATATAAGGCGCTGGTTTGAAGAAGTGGAATCTCATTTACGCGAAAAAATCTCAAAGATGTATTAGAACAGCCGGCAAGAATATTCAACACAGACGAAAGCCCCTTTTTTGTCACCTAAGGCTGGTAAAGTTCTTGCAAAAAAAGGTGACAAACATATCTATCAATCTTCCGGAGATGAAAAAGATAATTTAACAGTATTAATTACTAGAAATGCCGCTAGACAATTGGCACCACCCATGGTAGTATTTGCATATGAGAGAATTTCGTCCACAATTTCCTCCCAGTATCCTGAAGATTGGGCAATTGGACGTTCACAGAGTGGCTGGATGTGTGGCAGCACGTTTTGCGATAAATTGCGAACGTTTTTAATCCATGGTTGTGACAGCAAAATATCGTAAACGAAATTTATTTTGGCCCGGAGAATATGAAGATAAAAAAGGGGAAAAAAGAAAATTAAGAAAAATAGTTCCTTCTGCCATCACAAGTAAAACGTGGAGGGATTATCATGAAGTGAAAGAGAAACAAAAAATAGAAACAGCAAAGTTAAAAGAAATTAAAGCCCAAGAAAGAGAAGAGAAAAGACAGTTAAAACAGAGAGAGGCGGAAAACAAAAAGCAAAATAGACTAAAAGATAAAGAAAATAAGAAGAAGAAACGAAATACGATACCAAAACCAAATGACACATCGTCGGATAATACAGACACCGGGGTAAAATATGCAGAAAATGAAGATAGCTACATCATGGAAATCGAAGAAGATCTAACAGACGAAGATACACCACTGAGCAAAATTCTAAGCCACCAAAAACATATTCTATTGGAGAGTATGTTATAATCCAATACGACGGGGATTTACTCACAGGCGTAATTAAAATTGATAAAAAAAAATGGAAATTAGCACCATGGCCTTTTCAGTGGGTAACACCTTCAAGTGGCCGGAAAAAGAAGATAAAATCTGGTACCAAAAGTCTGTCATAGTTAAAGTAATTTCGAAACCAATGCTATGCAATAAAAGAGGTTTTTATACGATACCAGAAATGAAAGAATATCTGCCTTTCACAATGTAAGGTATTAAGTATTTAATTTAATGTTCTTCAGAAAACATTTAATTTTCTTTGTTTATAGACTTTTTAAGCCAAATATCTATTAATTAAGTAGTAGACTAAGGTAACGAGTCCGTGATCAAAGCCTGCCATAATTTGATTATATAATAAATAAGTACTTCGTAACATTGTAATACCTGTTTGGTAATATCAAAATAAGTATGTTAATTTCGTATGCCACTGAGAAGATCTCATTAAGTTTTGTTGATTAGTATTAAGCAAGCAGATGAAACTTAATAACCTAAGTAACAAAAGTGTGATTGTTGACATAATAAATAAGAAATAAAACTAATTTATAATAATAGAGGATTTAAAAAAATTAAACCATAGCGTTAATAAAATATTAAGTACTTAAATTACCTACGCATTACATGCCAACATGCCCTTGTTCGTTTATTTAGCTAATTAAAATTATTAAAAGACTGAATAAGACTTTTTTTGGGAATGGTGTTTGAGGTTAGGTCGATATTTGGATGACGATAAATAGAACATGTTGATTACTAGATCACAATTATTGGAACATGTCGATTACTGGGTGTCGATATATGGAATTTTGCAGTCGATAACTAGGCTAAAAAAAGCCTAAGTCTATCTTGTTTTTTTTCCCAAGTTATTAGTATTACACTTCTGTTTGCTTTAAAATAACATAGAATCAACCCTAAAAATTTACCCAGTGCATTAAAAAATCATGTATTATCATAAACAAATCAGATATTTGAAAAATGCTCGAATTTCAACGTTAAAGTGTCGATAATTGGGTGTTTTACTAAATCGAGCAGATTAATCAACTTATTGAGATGTATGCTTAAAAGATATATGTATTAATAATGTAGCTACAAAATGATGAATGAATGAATTTTCGAAATCGATTCAGATTTGAGAGATTATTTGTTACACACATACAAACTCTTGCCTCTTTATAATACCTACTAGTATATATAGTTAGGATTATAATATTTTACCTCCTGCACCTACATATTTGGTTCTGTGAATTATGTACGTAAAACAAATTATGAGACAAGGATATGCAGTGCATTTGTGTATATCACAATCTTAGAGTTGCATACAGCCATTGCCAATTTTAGATAGTCGACAAATGAATTCTATATTTACTAGTAAAAAGAAAATAAGCAAAAGATGACTTTTTGAATAAATACGGAAAATAATAATAATAATATTCTTCATTGTTTTACATAGAAAAACACACAAGTAAATTAAAACATGATAAATAGAACGTACACAATATAGGCGGCCTTATTGCTAGCTAACAATCTCTTCCAGGCAACCCATAAAAGAAAGATAAATAAATATGAAGGAGATAATGAGGGGTGTTATAAAAAAAAACATAATGGTATCAATGACAGGAAAAACAGATATATCTAAGGAAGGAAAGAGAGGATGAAGTAAAAATTTAACATAATTTTTGGGATAGGAAATAACTCCGAACTTGTTCTCTAAAAGAGTTCAGAGTGCGAGCCTTTCGAATGGTTTCTGGCAATGAGTTCCACAGTCGTACTGAATGCACAGAGAAGGAATAGAAAAAGAATTCAGTAGAATGAATTGGAATTTCAAGAGATAGGTTAGAAGAAGATCGCAATGTGCGCTGTGAAGTAGAAGTGAGATACGTGAAGCATTCTTTTAAGTAATGAGGAGAAGTGGGTAAGAAAAGTACGGAGTAAAGAAGTATAAGAGTGTGTAAGTCCCTGCGCCGGCGAATAGGGAGCCAGTTAAATTTAGAACGGAATTGTGAGACGTGGTCATATTTACGAAGGTTGAAAATAAATCGAATACATAAGTTCTGCAGACGCTCAGCTCAGGCATCAGCGTAGACAAGGATAGAAAGCAAAATACTAGTTAAGTATATAATTTACATTAAGTTAAGTACTAGTTAAGTATATAATTTACATGCATTAGATATAAAGGTAAGGAACTGATTTAACTTCATACATTTTTGCGAAAATTGAGGCCCATAAGGCCTTGACCTTGATGGTAAGGTGTCGTTTAGACCACCGCAAGGTACTTAATAATCCCCGCGATATTAACCCTTATTGAAGTGACAAGACTGCAGTATATACCGTCTTATAATCCTAACTAAAAAGTGTAAAATAAAAAAGGTAAATTTAAAAAATCAAAAAACCAGACTGCTTATATATTACTTCAAATAAAAACTGAAAAGAAAAAAACAAGTATATAATTCTGTTAAGTAAGGGACAAAGCTACTTTAACAGTCGGGACCCATTATTGAAAAAAATTGATCCATCCTGAAATATCTAATAGTAGCTTTGTCCCTTACTTAACAGAATTATAAGACTACTGGACTTGTTTTTTTCGTTTCAGTTTTTATTTGAAGTTATATGTAAGCAGTCAGGTTTTTTGATTTTTTAAATTTTTTATATTGTTCATTCAGTTTCGGTGAAAACGCAAATTCTACCGTGGTAACTACGTAACCTACCCTAAAATCTTCAACATAAAGACTTACAGACAATATCGTGGTTACTTACTAATTTTCGATTGCCACAACTGCTATCCCAGTGACGAGTTTATCGGCGAACGTTACAATGGAGTATATGGCAGCGCCCTGGTGCGAGTGCGGGCCTATCATGTCTGCGGTCACGCATAGGCTCGATACCAGTGTTATTGAACTGCCAGCTCCTGGAAATAGTGAGTATTTTTGAAGAGTAAACACCAGACTGCATGAAACATTTTGTACTACGCTTTTGTTTCAAGTTGACCGCTCCCACTCAACCCGCCTCACTGCACCGCGCTCCTAGACGGACCCTATTGGTCTACGGTAAGCTTGCCAACTCTATATAATACAGTATCCTACTATATTCGGGGATCAAAAACCATATTTCTAAAAAAAATATAAAAGGCGAAACTACTTTAATTGACTTAAAGCATATCCTTGCCAGTAAAAGCTTTCTAAAAATAAAATTTTAATTATTAAGGCATAGAGCAGCACAAATATATTCATTTCAGAAATAAAGTAAATATTTCAACTACTTAAGTACTATATTTTTTCCATTGGTTTGCCAGCTACTATTTTTTTTGAGGTAACAGCTTCGAATATGCTATATTTGATAGAAAAAAGTTGGTAACTAGTCTACGGTACCAGTGGTTTTGCCTGTGATTGGCCTATTACACATTTTGGTAACGGTCATCGACATATAACTCGAAGCAAACGGGTAGGTAGTAGTATACATTAATAAAATTTGATTGTGAGAGCTAGAATATTCTCCACGCCAACACATGCTTCGCGTTATTTACCTACTTAGGTACTTTAAAATATTACAGTAACAAACATATCTACCTACAACAAACCTACAGGGTACTTCCCGTGAACTTAGAATCTTGAAATTTGGTACGAAGTAACGTCTTATAGTACAGATAAAGGAAAAATTGCGAAAACCGTAAATTTTTAGTTACATCTTAAAATAAAAAATATTTTTGAAATTTCATGCATCCTATCCTTTAAGTTTTCTAATACTATGTACTTGAAGTTTACAACGTCTCTTTGCAGGGACCTCGAGCCGTGAATTAGTGAGTGTCTCTACACTGTAGAGTAGGGTTGCAACGATATATCGGAATATCGATAATAGAGTCTGGCACACGAAACATGAGCCAGTCAATTTTTAAACATTCTTCATATGGTCACACCAAAGTAGATGTCAATGTCAGTGTACATGAATTGTCATTACGATAAAACGTGTTTGCTTTTTTTGCTTCGAAATTATTTAAAACCATTAATATGAAGACTCCTATTAAGAGTGAGGCTAGAAAGCTTATATTTAATATGATTAATAAATTTGATGTGAGAAATAACGACAGTGAAAATATTTTTATTGAAAAAGAACAATGTTTGTTATCAATCTTGGCGGTCATTGGTAAGTTCGTCTTGTATGACTTGATTGTTTGCTCAATCCTATTCGATGTAGTTGGATGTTATATTGTTTTTTTATTCTACATCTTGTTTTCTATGAAAGTATTCAATGTTAATATATTCGCATTTCTTTCAGACACCGAAAATATAGATGTCAACAAAATTAAAGAGTCTGTCAAAAAACTAAAAGATATACACAACTCAGAACGGATTATAGCAACAAAGTACATGAACGAAATATCAGCAATGACAGGTAGATAGATACCTTAAAAATTTATTAGAGAAGAAGAAATTTTCTTCCTCAACCAACCTACATACACACATATATTGAAAGAAAGAAAAAAAGGAAAGTCTTTATTTGGTACCAAAACAATTACTTACTAATTGATTACTTTATAATGAACATCTGTGTTTTGATAATAAGATTTCTTGTTACTTTGTACCTGATCTTAACACCAACCAAAATCATGCAACGTCCACCCACTGTTTCTTGTGTATCTAAATATTTTGAATGTGTGATTGGTTAGTTTCAATACCTAAATATGGAAATATAACTCATTATTGTATTTAATATTGTGTTTTTTTTTCAGATGTTAGTCTTGCAACAATAAAACATATTGAAAAAGAAGGCCAATCGAACAACAATATTTGGTCTACGCCTGGAAACAAAAGACCCCATGCAAGTACTGTGTCAAATCTAGACAACTTTGATATATGCGCAATTGGAAATAAAATAAATGAATTTTATACTGTAAAAAAACAAGTACCTACTATTAGGAACTTGCTTTCAGAGTTAAGAGATGCAATTGGATTTACTGAAAGTAGGGAGACTTTAAGAAGAATTTTGCATGAAAATGGCTTTGAATTCAAAAGGAATTCCAATGAACGATCACTACTCCTAGAAAGATATGAAATTGTAGCTTGGCGTAATAGATATTTAAGAAAAATGTGCCAAGCTAGGCAAGAAAATAAACACATTGTCTACCTTGATGAAACCTATATACATCAGAACTACAAACCTAAAAAGTCTTGGCAAGGTCCGTTTAGGTCTTGTGGATAAAATATCAACTGGGAAGAGACATATTATTGTCCATGCTGGCTCAATGGAAGGGTTTGTGCCTAATGCTCTTTTGAGCTATAGTACGAAGTCAATGATGGCAGATTACCATCACGACATGAATGCCGTAAATTTTGAAAAATGGTTGTGTGAAAAATTAATTCCCAATTTGGATAAACCCAGTATTATTATCATGGATAATGCAAGTTACCACACATGTCAAATAAATAAAGCGCCTACCACACAAACCCGAAAAACTGACATCCAAGACTGGCTTAGATCTCAATGTGTGTCGTTTGAAGACTTTCTAACAAAAGATGAGCGACTTTGCTTAGTAAAAAGGAATAAACCGGATCCAATATACGAAGTAGATGAAATTTGAAAACATCACGGACATGAAGCGTTGAGATTACCGCCTTATCATTGTGACCTAAACGCAATACAAAGGATATGGAGTTTGGCGAAGAGAAGGGTTGCAAGTAAAAATATAGGTGTCACATCTGGTAATATGGAAAAAATCATAAAGGATGCATTTGAAAGTGTCACAGTTGAAGAATGGAAAAATTGCATAGAACACGTCGTAAAAATTTAAAATAATTACATTGAAAAAGATAACATTCTTGAAACAGAACTGGAAAGTTTTATTATAAACTTAAGAGAAAATGATAGTGACAGTGACGAATCTTTTGAAATGGATTTTTTGGACTCTAATTTTGATTATGAATCCATCCAATAAATCTCTTATCTATTAGACAAGTCCGTCCGTCCGTCTGTGGTGCTGTTTCAGCGGCCAAACCGTAAGAGATAGATAGAATAGTCTGATAAGACTACAAACCGGATTTGAGTAACGTAGCACTTCCTGTTTTCGAGAAATCACGAATTTCAAACGAAACCACACAAAATCTCCGAAGTTCTCAATTAATTAAAAACATTTTTTTTTAAATCAGGTTTTGGTGAACATTTGGTTCACTGGTTTGTTAGTAATGTTATAATTGGAACAATGTTTAATTATTTCTACTTACAATTCATAACACATATCCTCGCTCAATTACATAAGCCTCTTTCCCATTAGGGTAAGCAGAGACTTTGTTTTTGTTCGTTTCATTCAAAACCATCAATCACCAGGTTTTGTAATTAACACATTCACACAATACCTATATCTGTCTCATAATTTAAGTTTCATTCATCCTCTCTAAACTTGTCCTATTTATTAAACCATCTTGTTACTACTTTTTATTGAATAGTAGCATATAAAATCAACTGATAACTAGATGTAAAAGGTTTCAGTGTGTAATAACGATTTATTGTTAAAGATTGTTGGCTTTGTTATTATCTTTTATATTTCTATGAGTGATTTCGTTAAAAAGTTGTGTGAAGATTGTTTACCAAACAAGTTAGGATGAACAGACAGCCAATATATAGGTGACCAAACCACCGGAGCATACCTTTCTCAATACATGTCACTATGCTATGTTTCAGACCACCTTTCACGAATCACACCATATTCCTCACTCTATCACACAATTTCACTCCACATATCATAAGCAGAGAACGCATCGACAGCATTTTTCCTGATCTTATTCTTCTGCCACACCCAAGATTCACTTCCATACACGATTGTCGGCACCAAAACTCCACAATGAATAGCCAATCGCGCCTTCTTACTGCAGTCCTATTCATCACTCGCCCATAGAATCACAGACTACCTAAATACAAAATATAAGGATATTTCAAGTATCAAAATGTATTTTACTTTCTATACGCAGTGATATCACAGATAGATTTTTTGAATTTGCCGCCATTTTGGCAGGCTCATGTTTCGTGTGCCAGACTCTATCGATAATATCGAGACCAAAATATCGATATAAATAAAATTCACTGATATCGATAATATCGATATCGGAAATTCCAAAATATCGATATTTCGTAGACTAAATTTGAACACAATAATATCAATTAATTTAACTGCTATGACTATCTGTATTGAATAATATCGAAATAACTATTGCTTTGAAATCGCAAGAGCTTATAGATGTATTAAAAAAATCTTGAACTCCAAGAAATATCCTAAACTGGTGTAGATTATGGCATGATTTTTTAAACCTAAAATTAAATTTGACAACAGTGTATCCTTGTCATTCTCTATACAGAATGAAAAGGAGAGACTGATGTTAAAGTTAGTTTTAAGTTTAGATAATCATGCCAGAATCGACATCAACGTATATAGGTATAATCGTATACCTTATGGTAACTCATGCAATTAAATAAAATCCTTGCCTCTCTTTCTAGATAATTGTCAACTACTGATTAATTGAAATTTAATACCATTGTAATATAACACAAAATAAAATTAAGAATCTTATACAAATCGTAAATTTTTTAAGCTCGCCAAGTCAAGAAAGTAAGATAGGTATAGTAATTTTGGAAGCTTTGGGCTTACCCTATTCTGAAGCCATGGGCACGCCTCTGATGTGTGGGAGACTAAGCAATTTGCGTATTTGATGTGCGCTAAAAAACCGACATAGCTTGGAAAAGCACGAATGTAGTGAAAACTTAGCGAAGGCATTCGCAAATGTCGTCCCACAAATATAAGGAAACTAAATATAACAAAAAATACAAGTGATAACTAGAGGGTTTTATGATTTTTATTTTGCTCTTGTCATTTTAAATAAAAAAGGAAATTGTAGTAAAAAAATAAAAAAACAATTCAATGTG